CTCCAAGAAAAGAACGACAAATGGGGCATGGTGCGGGCGGCGGCGCCGTTTTCTGGTAGTGCACGGGCCTCAGTATCCAGCGGCTGTGCCGCTGTGTCCCGCGGTGGACTGGGATGCGCAGCATGCGCCGAATCCTGCCGGGCGATGGAGGTTGTGTCCAGCAGGGGTGGAGGGGGCGGATAAATCGCGTCGATTGAAAATAGATTAGTTGATCCATTTATTTTTAAATGAACTTAATTTTAGCTGGTGTAATTCGTGCCAGTACCTAGTTATTATATACTTTGATCCAAAAGACTTGGGTCCTGTAAGGTTAGAAGGAGGTTACTGGCATTGGTTACCGCATTGACTCATCAATGCTCCTCACATTTTATTAGGTCGCTGTATGGTTAGCTGATTGTATAATCATGCGTGCTGCTGACATCTTCAGCACCCAGTCTTCTGGTGGCAAGCAGTGCACGGCGTCCAAGTAGGTGTCTGTTTACGGTGAACCAGCGGTGTCCGCTGCATGGTGCCTAAACTTTCTGTGTTGTCATTTACTGCATTGTGCTATATCTTGTGAGCTACTATTTTTATGTGATATATTAAGCTTGTCCATAGATGTTGTGATCAACTACTTGTGTGAAGATCGCTAAATTCAATAAATATATGGCAAGTCCAGAAAATAACCTCGGGCATCGTTTCTTTTATACGCACAAGAGACAAAGTTCATTCGATGGGGAAACACATTACATGGTTTCCACACACCACAAAAGCACTCGACACACAGCGGATACAGTTTGATCAGACACCGTTCGCCAGCTTTATCAAAAAGTATTACAGATCACGCTGGTACGGTTGATACCTCTGACGAAGTGAGCACAGTCAACAGATCCTGAGGAAGCGGCACAGCGAGGCGAAGAAGCGCTTTATCCTCCTCCACAGCCCCGGTCTGTAGGAGCCCCGCTTGCGCGTTCCCCTGCCGGGCCCTGATCCGGGGGGATTCAGCGTCACGGGCTGCTGCATCTGCTGCTGCTGCTGCCAGGCACTGTACTGTGCCGAGCCCGTCTGGAAGTGCTGCGCCGTGGCGCGCACCTCAGTCTGCTCGTCCTCGTCATCATCGTCCTCCCCGAAGAGGTACTCACGTATGCGTCCAAAGAACGACAGCTTCTTTTCCTCAGGCACGTCCACCTTGGCCTTGCGCCAGCACAACCGCTCCTCGTCAAAGAAGACGTAGCCTCCGTCGGGCGTTCGGAGCCTCTTGTTGAGGTAGTCCTCCTCGGGGAGCGGCTTTTTAGTCCACTTTCCAGTGACCTTGTTCTTAGTGTAAGCGTACGAGATGCGCTTGAAGCCGTGGTGGTGCCGATGGCTGCTGCGTGGGCTGGTCTCGGAGCGGTCGGCGCCACTCGTGGTGGCGTCGTCCGAGTCCACTACCCGCTTCCAGCGCCGGTGTACACTGTCGTAGGCGATACTGGTGCCGCTGGAGGTCTTCTGCGCCTTGATATTCCTCTTGCTGAGCTCGCCATCCTGCAGGTGTTTCCTCTTCTTTTCGAGGTACCAGGCTCCCTTATCATGCACGAGGTGCCGCTCCCAGCCGGTCTCGGCCTCGCGCTGCGCCTCCAGCAGGTGCTGCGAGCTCAGCGGACCCATCCGCTTCCGCTTCCTCTTCCACACCTTCCGTGCGCTGTCGTACACGATGGCCGAGCCGCTGCCTGTGCGCTTCAGCAGCTGCTGCGTCTTGGTCGGCGTCGGCACGTCAGAGGGGTGATCACGCCAGCGCCGCCACTCCAACCGCTGCTCGTCGTAGTAGATCTGCGTGCCGCTCGCTGTCCGCTTTGCGTCCTGCTGCTCGGGAGTCAGCTTGTTAAAGTTGACTGTTTTATGACGACGCTCGCGGTGCCAGTAGCCACGCCATTTGTCATACACAATGGGCGTGCCGCTGTGGGTTCGCTTCAGGTTGGTAACGGACGGTGTCAGCTCCTCGAGCGTCAGCGGTCCCGTGCTCTTGTGCCGTTTGCGCACTCCGGCCACATCCCTGCGCCATGCCTTCAATATTGGATCGTAGAAAAGCGCGTGCCCACTTTCTGAGCGCTCGACGGAGCCGTAGCCGGCGCTAGACTGACTACTGGAGCCGGGCGCCGAGCTATCGGCAGTGTCCAGTGGCTGTCGTGACCGACCCGTGAATCGTTTGTGGCGGCGCGGCGAAGACTCGTCGGCACTCTCATTCTCACTCTGTGCCTCGTAGCCACGCTCAGTGGTGTCCGAATCCTTGCCTTCATTGTCTCGAGCACCCATTTATGACAGGTTAGAGCAGTATTACTAAATCTCCGCCTGCGGTTGTTAGGCGCCGACCGCTCATTTATCGTCATAACTGTTCTTGATTGCATTATTAAATTGTCGGGTTACATTATCACGTTTTCGTGACAATGTAGCTTTTTTTGCTAGATGCGAGACTAATCAGCTATTTATACCATACGTTTTTGTCTTACGTTTTCTTAGCAGCAGCGAATATGGTGTGCCCTGTGGGCTTACTTTTACTCACTTTTGCTTCCTCTCGAATGAGCCATACACAACTCGCTTGCATGGAAAACAAGTTTTGTAATGACTGTGCTCATAATCAATGCCAGATTGAATAAAGCAAGTTCACAAATATGCAATAATGCATTTTTATCGGAAATATGCTTTATTTTTAATTGTTTTCAACGTGGACAAAAGGTCAAAAAGCGCCATTTTTGTAGGTTGTCGAGAGGTGACCGTGAAGTATTGCGATATGCGTGACAAAGTCAAAGCTGTACCTCCGTTGAACTAGCACTTCAAGAGAGCGTGGGGTCGACAGCCTCCGGAAAAGCGTGGAAGCTGAGTGGGTATTTCAGGCAGTCGTTTGAGATTTTGTTATATAACAACGACATCGATTGCTCCTTTTTAATAGGGATACTGGTTCTCCGTCAGTTGTTATCGTTTTTTTTTGTCATCGAAATCAGCTTTAATCCTTCCCCTCCGGCTTTTCTCGGGGTGGGGGTATCTGAAAACGCCGTTACGTACCGCTCGCCCTATACGCTTCACCGTGTGAATTAGTGCTTTGAAATTGAATCGTTGTCATTGACAAGGATGGCATGATTCAGGAAAGATATGTACCTACAAAAAATAGGATTTGTATCGATGCCCTAAGGTCCGGTCACGCTGCCAAGTTCTTATAATTACCTAAATGCCTAAGTCAACGGGAGAAAAGGAAACTGTGTTTCGTTCTGACGAACTTTGTGGGTTAAGGCCGAGGCAACTTGAAACGTTTACTTTTCCGAATTACAGGGTGGCGCCGGTAAATAACCACAAATGTCAAACCTGTGTTACGAGGAAACTGTTTTGTGTAGAGCAAAAATTTTTTGCATTCATGTTCCATGCTTTATGTAAATTGTTGTCCATAGCAAAAGGAAACGTTGCAGCTGAAGATGATAACGGAAGAAATGAAAAGGCACGCGGTCATTGTGGCGCTTCACGCCGGCAGCGAGGCACCCGAGGTCGCCAACTTCCTCAAGGTCGACAGAAGCCATGATTATAAAGTCGAGCGGAGCTTGGATGAGTCTGTGGGCGACGTCCCGTCTGTGGCAAAGCGGAAGAAACATCCCCCACGATCTGATGCCGTCAGAGACGACGATTTCATTGCCAAAATCGAGAACGTCGTCGACGATGACCCGACGTCGACGTCACCGTCGATGACGGTGACGTCATGAAGCCTTGGATCGACCGAGTGGCTGAGGAAGGCCCAATGTGTTACAACAAGACTCTGTAACCGCCCACAAGGCCAGGATGACGCAGGAGTGGATGAGCGGCAACGTGCACAGCCACATCACGCCCGAGTTCTGGCCGCCAAACTCCCCGGACCTGAACCCGCTCGACTAAAACGTCTGGGGCGTAGTCGAGAGGGACACTAACAAACACCCACACAACAATATTGACTCTCTGAAGTCAGCCATCAAGCAAATGATGGTCAAGATGGACAAGACCATGCTGGCCAAAGCCTGCGCCCGGTTCAAGCCGCGCATCGAGGCCGTCATCGACGCGGAGGGGGATTCATCGAGTGAAGTGTGCTCGACAGGTCGCCATCAGTCACCCCAGTTCCAAGCTTTCATCCAAAGTACTGACTTTTGCCAAAAAAATTATGTTTTGTGTGGAGCACATATTGTCTTCATTTATCGGCGCCACCCTGTAGAATAACGTCATTCAGTTTTTGTTGAGAACCCTCCCATCGCATTTATTCTTTTCAGTAATTATATTTGCTTACGAGCAGGTAATTTGAAATGTGTGAATGGCTGAGTGAACGGTACTTTTATAGGTATAAAAGCTGTGGGGTGGTGTTGGGCTCGCTGTGGTGATCAATGTCTTTCCGTGAACAAAACACTGGCTCCATTGGTTAACTTTCAACTTTGATTTATAACTTCTGTACCTACCTATAAAGTATAAACTATCGTCATTGGGAATATATTTAATGCATTTTATCACAATACAACGCAAAACGAATTTGGTAATATCACATGTCCACGCTCATGAGTACTTTCTCCTCATCGTCTTGTTCGCTGCGTCCGATTTCTGTATGATCTCAGAATCAGTCCCGCGTATGTGCTCCGTCACCATGGCACGCCCGCTATCGCCTCAGCCGCTGCCGTGACGTGCGGCAGCTATCTGTCTCGCTCGGCATTGGTCACCGATTGGTGACGTCACTGGACCAGCCCGGCACGTGTAGCGAGATTATACAACAAATTTGCGTCTCCGCGTGGGATGTGAGGATGCCGCTGCTCGGAACACAAAAGGAACTGTATGACTAAGCGAATCTACCCATGTATGTTTGCATAGTCATTGAAGCGTTCTTATCCGTGGAATAAGTGCTCAAATAAGTTCGCCAGTTTCACGATCAGCCATACTTACCACAAATATACAAGCATACGTATAACAAAGCTACGCTACGAACACAAAATCTCAGTACCTACACACGTATCACTTCGGCATCCATCGTCTGACACGCATTATAAACGTCATACGACGAATACTGTCTGGCAATTAAGCACACGACCCTGACGGTGATGCTCTTTCTGCATGACTCTACGTGTCCTTTTATACATGAACATGTCCATTTTGCATAGTTTAGGGGGCATTCTGCATTCCTCTCGCCGCCACTCACCAGGAGAGTTCAACCCGTCAATGAGTAACACAAGCTCAAAGCACTGCGAACGGTAACGCGACGTGCAATTTCGCGGCCTTCGACTTCAACTCAGAGCCATTGAGCGTGTGCCACTGCGCACCTCCTCACTTTCTCAGCACATGTTCGGAAGGCCTCTTCAGAAGAGCATGTCGGCGGTGGTGTCTGCGCTCCAGGCAGCGTCCTCCTCCTCGTCAGGCTGGGCGGGGGCGGGGGCGGAGGGCGGCGCCGGCGCCGGGACTGAGGGCGCCGGCGGCCGCGATGCGCGCGTGACACCCAGCTGGAAGGCGGCGGCCTCCTCCGTGGCCAGGCGGCTGGACGTGTAGGTGGACAGCGCTGTAACAAGGCACGTACACACTGGTTAGACTAGCTCACCGGTGTGGCGCCCCGCGGATCCGATGACGGCTCTTGTAACGTACTCACTAGCGGGGATTGCACTGATAAACGCTAGTCAAATGTCTGCTGTGACGGTGGTCATCTAAAAACAGCGAGCAGTGAGCTCGCCCAACATGTTAAACCTCTCAGTTTATTTTATCCCACAATCTCGTGAAAGGACACAATAAATATACCACCTACATCTGCTAGGTAACCGTTCTCGTCTTTTGGCGCGATAGTCTGTTTACGGTATAACAAATATTTAAGTTGTTTGCTTTGGCTTAAACCGGTTTCGGCTGTATGCAAGTGCTTTTCATCCCAAAACGCTAGTTATTTTCACGAGACAACGGATACTACATGCAAATGATGAAGCTAGTGCTAAATGAGAGAGACACATAAGCAATGGTTCGTCACATAAGCGTAGATCATGTCCATAAAGTTAGCGTCGTATTCGTATTCGGATTCAAATTCGAGTAATGATTTCGCTCAAAAATTGCATACAGATAGCCCATGGCACGCTGAGTTCGAAAATGGTGACCTTTTTTTCCTAGGTCAAACCGTTTGACCTTGAGAGGTCAAAATACTGCGTACCCTGTAGAATCTTTGTTTATGGTCCGATTTGAAAAATTCGACCACCAGTGTGTTCGTCTCATCGAGAAGCAGTAGCACATTCAAAAAAATCCGCGGTCAAGGTCATAGGTCAAGGTCAAGGTCACTTTCAAAATCGCCGTACCCTATAAAATCTTCATTTTTGGAGCTATCGGAAAATTTCGGCCACCACTGTGTTCGTCTCATCGAGAAGCAGTAGCACATTCGAAAAAAATCGAGGTCAAGGTCATAGGTCAAGGTCAAGTTCACTTTAAACGTTAATATTAGTCCCCGTACCCTGTAGAATCTTTGTTTATGGTCCGATTTGAAAATTTCGGCCACCACTGTGTTCGTCTCATCGAGAAGCAGTAGCACATTCGAAAAAATCCGATGTCAAGGTCATAGGTCAAGGTCAAGGTTACTTTAAACGTTAATTTTAGTCCCCGTACCCTGTAGAATCTTTGTTTATTGTCCGATTTGAAAATTTTGGCCACCACTGTGTTCGTCTCATCGAGAAGCAGTAGCACATTTGAAAAAAATCCGAGGTCAAGGTCATAGGTCAAGGTCAATGTCACTTTAAACGTCAATTTTAGTCCCCGTACCCTGTAGAATCTTTGTTTATGGTCCGATTTGAAAATTTCGGCCACCACTGTGTTCGTCTCATCGAGAAGCAGTAGCACATTTGAAAAAATCCGAGGTGAAGGTCATAGGTCAAGGTCAAGGTCACTTTAAACGTTAATTTTAGTCCCCGTACCCTGTAGAATCTTTGTTTATGGTCCGATTTGAAAATTTCGGCCACCACTGTGTTCGTCTCATCGAGAAGCAGTAGCACATTCGAAAAAATCCGAGGTCAAGGTCATAGGTCAAGATCAAGGTCACTTTAAAAGTTAATTTTAGTCCCCGTACCCTGTAGAATCTTTGTTTATGGTCCGATTTGAAAATTTCGGCCACCACTGTGTTCGTCTCATCGAGAAGCAGTAGCATATTCAAAAAATCTGAGGTCAAGGTCATAGGTCAAGGTCAAGGTCACTTTAAACGTTATTTTTAGTCCCCGTACCCTGTAGAATCTTTGTTTATGGTCCGATTTGAAAATTTCGGCCACCAATGTGTTCGTCTCATCGAGAAGCAGTAGCACATTCGAAAAAAATCCGAGGTCAAGGTCATAGGTCAAGGTCAAGGTCGCTTTAAACGTTAATATTAGTCCCCGTACCCTGTAGAATCTTTGTTTATGGTCCGATTTGAAAATTTCGGCCACCACTGTGTTTGTCTCATCGAGAAGCAGTAGGACATTTGAAAAAATCCGAGGTCAAGGTCATAGGTCAAGGTCAAGGTCACTTTAAACGTTAATTTTAGTCCCCGTACCCTGTAGAATCTTTGTTTATGGTCCGATTTGAAAATTTCGGCCACCACTGTGTTCGTCTCATCGAGAAACAGTAGCACATTTGAAAAAATCCGAGGTCAAGGTCATAGGTCAAGGTCACTTTAAACGTTAATTTTAGTCCCCGTACCCTGTAGAATCTTTGTTTATGGTCCGATTTGAAAATTTCGGCCAACACTGTGTTCGTCTCATCGAGAAGCAGTAGCACATTCGAAAAAATCCGAGGTCAAGGTCATAGGTCAAGGTCAAGGTCACTTTAAACGTTAATTTTAGTCCCCGTACCCTGTAGAATCTTTGTTTATGGTCCGATTTGAAAATTTCGGCCACCACTGTGTTCGTCTCATCGAGAAGCAGTAGCACATGTGAAAAAATCCGAGGTCAAGGTCATAGGTCAAGGTCAAGGTCACTTTAAACGTTAATTTTAGTCCCCGTACCCTGTAGAATCTTTGTTTATGGTCCGATTTGAAAATTTCGGCCACCACTGTTTTCGTCTTATCGAGAAGCAGTAGCACATTCGAAAAAATCCGAGGTCAAGGTCATAGGTCAAGATCAAGGTCACTTTAAACGTTAATTTTAGTCCCCGTACCCTATAAAATCTTCATTTTTGGAGCTATCGGAAAAATTCGGCCACCACTGTGTTTGTCTCATCGAGAAGCAGTAGCACATTCGAAAAAAATCCGAGGTCAAGGTCATAGGTCAAGGTCAAGGTCACTTTAAACGTTAATTTTAGTCCCCGTACCCTGTAGAATCTTTGTTTATGGTCCGATTTGAAAATTTCGGCCACCACTGTGTTCGTCTCATCGAGAAGCAGTAGCACATTCAAAAAAATCCGAGGTCAAGGTCATAGGCCAAGGTCAAGGTCACTTTAAACGTTATTTTTAGTCCCCGTACCCTGTAGAATCTTTGTTTATGGTCAGATTTGAAAATTTCGGCCACCAATGTGTTTGTCTCATCGAGAAGCAGTAGCACATTTGAAAAAATCCGAGGTCAAGGTCATAGGTCAAGGTCAATGTCACTTTAAACGTTAATATTAGTCCCCGTACCCTGTAGAATCTTTGTTTATGGTCCGATTTGAAAATTTCGGCCACCACTGTGTTCGTCTCATCGAGAAGCAGTAGCACATTCGAAAAAATCCGATGTCAAGGTCATAGGTCAAGGTCAAGGTTACTTTAAACGTTAATTTTAGTCCCCGTACCCTGTAGAATCTTTGTTTATTGTCTGATTTGAAAATTTTGGCCACCACTGTGTTCGTCTCATCGAGAAGCAGTAGCACATTTGAAAAAATCCGAGGTCAAGGTCATAGGTCAAGGTCAAGGTCACTTTAAACGTCAATTTTAGTCCCCGTACCCTGTAGAATCTTTGTTTATGGTCCGATTTGAAAATTTCGACCACCACTGTGTTCGTCTCATCGAGAAGCAGTAGCATATTTGAAAAAATCCGAGGTCAAGGTCATAGGTCAAGGTCAAGACCACTTTAAACGTTAATTTTAGTCCCCGTACCCTGTAGAATCTTTGTTTATGGTCCGATTTGAAAATTTCGGCCACCACTGTGTTCGTCTCATCGAGAAGCAGTAGCATATTCGAAATAAAATCCGAGGTCAAGGTCAGAGGTCAAGGTCAAGGTCACTTTAAACGTTAATTTTAGTCCCCGTACCCTGTAGAATCTTTGTTTATGGTCCGATTTGAAAATTTCGGCCACCACTGTGTTCGTCTCATCGAGAAGCAGTAGCACATTCGAAAAAATCCGAGGTCAAGGTCATAGGTCAAGGTCAAGGTCACTTTAAACGTTAATTTTAGTCCCCGTACCCTGTAGAATCTTTGTTTATGGTCCGATTTGAAAATTTCGGCCACCACTGTGTTCGTCTCATCGAGAAGCAGTAGCACATTCGAAAAAATCCGAGGTCAAGGTCATAGGTCAAGGTCAAGGTCACTTTAAACGTTAATTTTAGTCCCCGTACCCTGTAGAATCTTTGTTTATGGTCCGATTTAAAAATTTCGGCCACCACTGTGTTCGTCTCATCGAGAAGCAGTAGCACATTCAAAAAATCCGAGGTCAAGGTCATAGGTCAAGGTCAAGGTCACTTTAAACGTTAATTTTAGTCCCCGTACCCTGTAGAATCTTTGTTTATCGTCCGATTTGAAAATTTCGGCCACCAATGTGTTGTCTCATCGAGAAGCAGTAGCACATTCGAAAAAATCCGAGGTCAAGGTCATAGGTCAAGGTCAAGGTCACTTTAAACGTTAATTTTAGTCCCCGTACCCTGTAGAATCTTTGTTTATGGTCCGATTTGAAAATTTCGGCCACCACTGTGTTCGTCTCATCGAGAAGCAGTAGCACATTCGAAAAAATCCGAGGTCAAGGTCATAGGTCAAGGTCAAGGTCACTTTAAACGTTAATTTTAGTCCCCGTACCCTGTAGAATCTTTGTTTATGGTCCGATTTGAAAATTTCGGCCACCACTGTGTTCGTCTCATCGAGAAGCAGTAGCACATTCGAAAAAATCCGAGGTCAAGGTCATAGGTCAAGGTTAAGGTCACTTTAAACGTTAAAATTCGGATTCAAATTCGAGTAATGATTTCGCTCAAAATTGGCATACAGATAGCCCATGGCACGCTGAGTTCGAAAATGGTGACCTTTTTTTCCTAGGTCAAACCGTTTGACCTTGAGAGGTCAAAATACTGCGTACCCTGTAGAATCTTTGTTTATGGTCCGATTTGAAAAATCCGACCACCACTGTGTTCGTCTCATCGAGAAGCAGTAGCACATTCGAAAAAATCCGAGTTCAAGGTCATAGGTCAAGGTCAAGGTCACTTTAAACGTTATTTTTAGTCCCCGTACCCTGTAGAATCTTTGTTTATGGTCAGATTTGAAAATTTCGGCCACCAATGTGTTTGTCTCATTGAGAAGCAGTAGCACATTTGAAAAAATCCGAGGTCAAGGTCATAGGTCAAGGTCAAGGTCACTTTAAACGTTAATTTTAGTCCTTGACCTCGGAT